CTTTGACTACAGATGCTTGGTAGCCCCCTGCTATACCAACTCTCACTACCACATGCCCCACTTGAAGGGTAGGTAGGGGTGGCCCATCATCTCATGAGCTTAAAGTGCTGTAGTGAGAAACCTAGAAGAACATGGGACCTTGGAAGCAACTCTGACCTCTCAGAAGTTGAATAAGGGGGTCTGGGTGAGTTGTGTGTGGAGATGGAGTGCATATGCTGGGTTTTACTCAGAATGATGGAGTTCCTTAACTTGGAATCCTGTGCTCTTGTGTGAGGCACAAGTCTTCAAGGATATTTCCTGTTTGCAGTAGTGCGTGACTGCCTGAAGACAGCTTGGACCTGAATAACAGCTGGGCACTAAATTTCTTGGCCACGATTTGCCTTTTCTAAAGAGAATTTCACTGGGCTCAAGAGAAAAGAATTTATTAAAAAGCAGATTGACCCAAGTTTCCAGCTAAATCATCTCTAAAACTGGGCTGAATGGCTGGAACTACACATTGATTGTGCTTTTGAAGGGCATTGGGTAATATTCCATATTTATAAATGTCCCCACAACCAGCCCCAAATAACCTGACAATGGGAACAAGGCTTTTCCTTACGTACATCTCCTGTTAATATTTTCATCATAGAATTGTTAAATGTCAGAAATGGGTAAGTTGATGTCACAGATCTCTGCTTTAGAAATGAGAAGAGACAAGAAAAAGGAAGCAAGTAAAACCAACAGGGACTGTCACTAGTGTCATGTAAAAGGTGACAGTGTGTTAAAAGTGGTATAAGATGAATGGCATGAGACCTTAAAAGATGGAGAAATACTATCTACTATGATGCTAGTCAGGACAGACTTCTGGAGGCTTCTGTGTTGATGGGGCTTCAGATGGAGGAGTACCATGAATGCAGTGTTGGGAAGGTATGCACTCTTCAGGGACTAAGTGGTCCAGTGTGGCTGAGACGCAAAACCATCATGTTATAAGGAGATTTTTTTCCTATGATCTTGTAGCCAATTTCCAGGTGCAGATTCTCCTCTATAATATGGCTAATGACTTACAAAGTCTGTTAGTAGTAGAACTAGGACTTGGTAGACCCAGTGTTCTTTTTAATTGTCCTATACTTGCTAATGGCTTTAGTATTATGTATTGCAGAGGGGATCACATACTCAGCTGAGGACTTTGACTTGATTTGATGAGAGCGAGTAGCTATTTAGCTTTTTGGAAAAGGAAAAATGTAATTATAGCTATGATTTAGAAATTTAATTTGGCAAGGGTGTTAGGATGAACTGGAGACCAAATCAAGACAGCCATTCAGAACAGCTCACACCCTAAGGATCCAAGTTGGAAGAAAGTATGCTGAGATATCTGAAGGCCAGATATTTGCTGCCATGTGCAAATTCAGAGAGCTAGTCACTAGTACAAGTGAGGCTCAAATTCAGGTCTGGTTTTCATGCTTCCAGTTCTCAACTTGAAGGAAAGATAACATAGGAAGAACAAAGTTGAGAACTGTGTTGCACATCATCCTCGTGGATCTATGGTAGTGCATGTACCTCATGTGCCTTGTTCAAGCTACTTGCTGGTCTGAGAGGCAAGTTTATGTGACTTCAGTCTACATGGAGGTATTTGCCTTTGTATTCCCTAGATCCACAGATTGTGTGCACATGTGTGCAGAGGCCAGAGGTCAGCATTGAGCAGCATTCCTCAGTTGCTCTCCAACTTTGTTTTTTTGTAAGACAGGCTTTCTCATTGAACTGGGAGCTTGCCAATCGGCTGGAATGGCTGGCCAGCAAGCCCCAGGAATGCTCTTGTCTCTACCTCCCCAGTACTGGGATTATAGGTGCACACACTGCTGAGGATCCAAACTGGGTCCTCATGGCAAACACTTTGCCAACTGAGCCCTCTCCCCAGCCCAATACAAAGATTTTAAAATTTGGGCGTATTTGTGATTCTGATGTAATCTTGGCTGTATATTTGCCTCCTTAATCTGATGTTTTTTGTCATTTCATTGATTTGATTCTTCTCTTTTGGATTCTTAACATTTGTTGCCCCTCTTTTCTTCCTGGCCAGTTAATCTTAGACTGGGCTGCTTGCTCTGAAAACATTTTACCTCTTACCTCAGAGAGAGAGGGAGGGAGAGGGAGAGGGAGAGAGAGACAGCTTTTAAGTCCATTGGAGACAAAACTACCCAAATTTCAACTTGAATTGTTATGGAACAAGCATTTATTTTAAAAATATTTTTTCATTGATTCTTTGAGCATGCCATACCTCTATGGAGTCATTCTTTTTCTGAACAGTTCATGGCTTTTGGTAATTCCTTAGTGTTGTGCAAAATAATTGTCACCTTGTCACTGAAAGTGAAAAGTGATAAGGATCACTGGTTTGTGCCTTATCTGTCTCTTCCAAGTACAATATGTTACCCACATCCCGTTGCAGTCCAATTTCCTGTGTGTGCTGTCCAGGCAGCATGCATATGTCCCTCGTCCACTGAGCTTGATTCTGTATATTGCTTCTTTGTTAAGTGCGCTGGGATAGTGTTTACTTCTCCATTCTAAGTGCCTCTATGCTGAGGACCAATGCTCAGTCACATCCTGCACCCATCCTCTTACTTTAGGTTAAACCCGAGGCAGATTTCCAAACTCTGGGGTATGACTGCAGCAGTCTAGTTGTCCTTTTTGAAGATACAGGTGACATCAGAGAAAGGAGGTAACTTAAGTCATGCAGAGGTAACTGTTGCTGAGGTGTAAAGCCTGACTTACACTTCCAGTTGTCTGGCATGCTTGTGCTTCTGAGCAGTTCTCCAGGGACTTAATAAAGATACTGAAAAGAGAAGTGACACCTGTCATTGTCCCCTAGGTCCAGGAGATACAATATAAAATGAAAACAAAAAAAATAAGGATGAAAATGGAAAATAACCTCATTTATGGCCTTATTTAGATGCCACCTTTCAGTGTACAGATGTCATAGGAGCAAGGAGAGAAGAAATGGGCAGTGAAGACAGTGGTAGCCTAGAATGAAGGGAGGTCTCAGGAAACTATGGAAAAATCCATTCACCAAGTATTAGGAAGGAGTCTGTGTAAGTTTTCAAGTAATTGGTTGGATATCCACTTTAAGATACGGGTGTTCATCTTCATCTTCTCAATGTCCACTAGCCATCCAGAGCCACTTGAGTCCCTCAGGATGGCTCATGACTATGAACTCAAACCACACAGCTCTGCAGCTCCCTGTTAACAGGGACTGGCTTGCAGATCAAGTTTCTTCAGCTCCCCTCCCCAACCAGACCCTGCACATGACTTTCCCAAGCATTCCACTTATACCTACAGCTGGCCTCTTCTCTCTGTCTAGTCCCTCTCAAGCTGGACAGATTCTCTCTGTCATCAGACTGTTGTCCAACTTCACTGCTTTTAAAGACCAGAAGACAGCTGGTGTTCATGTGCCCATGCTGATAGCCACAGCCTGTGCTGATAATCAGCATGGTAGACCAGCCCACCATGAAGGTTCCTCAGTTCTTCGGAAGTCCACTCTGCTTAGGAATCCATAGGACCTGGCACCAGGTTCTGAGTTCAAAATCTGCCTTCATTTAGGAAAGGAGGGCTTAGAGCTTCTGGTCCCTAAGTTGTTTCTGGTTCACCAGTAGACACTGAGTAAATACATGATGCAAGGCACTGTTTCCAGCACTGGGCATTTGAAGTAGAGTTCCTGCCTGCCTGTGACTTTGTGAATTGGTTGAGTCCAGCCCTCATAAGCAATTTTTGCCCTAAACTGTGTCCCAAATTTTCATTATTGCTCTCAACTTTAAAGCTTTTTAATTAATTAATTTATTTATTTTTTATTTTGTGTATGAGTGTTATGCCTGCATGTGTTTAAATGCATCTCTGTCATACAGTGCCTGTAGAGGACAGAAGAGGGCATCAGATCCCCTCGAACTGGAGTTATGGACCATTGTTAATTGCTATGTGGGTGCTTCGATTTGAACCCGGGTCCTCTGCAAGAAAAGCAAGTGCTCTTAACCGCTGCTGAGCCATCTCTCCAGCCCCACTCTCAGCTTTAAATACCGATGTTCCTTGGAGACCTAAAGGGATGTTCTCTCCATTAAGTCTTCATACTCTATATTTTAAAGAGAGACCTGCAGTTACATTTTTAACTGATGGAGGGTACCTTCTTTCTGACTTCATTTAGCCTGATTCAAATCCAGCTTGTTGCATTTGGTAATTATTTACTCGAGGCAAATCAGGCTGGTTACATGCCCTTTGTAATATAGCTGTATGAGCAGAAGTGTTCAACTTTGTCAGCATGCTAGGCTCAATACAAGAGACGATTCATGTTCTTAGAGAAAATTGTAATGAGTTCAGTGACATAGGACAGGCATGTTGGAGGAGCTGAGATAAAAGGAGGTATGTGTAAATTCTTGGAATGTAGGCACTGCCCTCAGAAAGGACTTGAGAAGGTACCCGGCTAGCCACACTGCACTTTTCCTTAGTTGTCGAGGGCCTATTCTGTTTGTAAGCCCTGCTCAGATCTGTGTTCTTCCTTCTTCCCTCCCTCTTTCACATTTATGCAGGTCTATGAAGGAGGGCAGACTATTTTTATACAGTCATCCATTTTTAAAAAAATACTTTTATGTGTGTGTGTGTATTGCCTGCATGTAGGTAAGTGCACCCATGACATGCAGTGCCCATGGAGGACAGAAGAGGTTGCCAGATCCCTTGGAACTGGAGTTACGGACAGTTGTTAGCTTTGGACACTGTCAAGCCCCAGCGATTTTTTTTTTTTTTGAGACCGGTCTCCCTGTAGCCTCACCTGTCCTGGAACTCACCATGTAGACCAGACTGGCCTTGAACTCACAGAAATCCACCTGCCTCTTCCTCCCAAGTGCTGGGATTAAAGGCATGTGCCACCATGCCTGGCTCAGACATCCGTTTTTATCCCTGAGAGATACCTCTCTTTAGGTTCAGCCCCTGGCAGGCAGCAGAGCCTTTCTATGGCCAGTGACTGACCAGAGCTCTTTCCCTTCCAGAGACGAAAAGAACCAGTCCATCATAGTCAGCGGAGAGTCTGGAGCCGGGAAGACGGTGTCAGCCAAGTATGCCATGCGCTATTTTGCCACAGTTGGTGGTTCAGCCAGTGATACCAACATTGAAGAGAAGGTCTTGGCATCCAGTCCCATCATGGAGGTAAAGCCTTCCTGGGAGACTGCTGTGTGTTGAATATGGCATGATTGATCAGGAGAATCCTTGAAGCAGCTCACATAGGCAGTATGCACATCTCTCCTTAGAGCCTATGTGCATGCTGAGGGAGAGATGGTAAAGATGCCTTTGGAACCTCAGATTTAAAGGTGTTCTGACCTGGTTGTGTCCTGTAGGGTCTTACTATTGGATGGAATGTCTTCATGTTCTCTGTGTCCCTGGACTTCGTGGATAATCTAGTAATGGTTCTTCCTTTCCTACTGACAACATGGGTCAGAAAATGTGCATCCCACTGAAACCACTAGATGCCTTGAAGAACTCTGAATTACAAGGCAGTTCTCATGGAGGGTGTGACCATCTAGATAGAATATTCTTCCTTACAAAAATTATTTATTTTTGTCTTTAGGGAAAGGGATGGTGAAGGAAAGCCAACACAGCTCATAATGTAACATCTGTTGAAGATCTTCAGGAAATAGTTACTTGTGATGGCATGTACTAAGGAGGCAGATCTTTTCTATGTCTTCCCCCCTACCCCAAGTCTGGCCAGGACATTATGAGAGGGACCTGGTTTGGGTGGGCTCAGAGAACTTGAGTGCTGGTCAAATTTATTTCCTAAAAATTAGATCTTGCTATAACTCATTGTTTTAAGGTCAGAACACATACATTCTCTTTCTTCTTTCAAGACTTTATTCTGGTAGAGTAGGACTAAATGTCCTCATAGCCTGGGTCACTTTCGATGCCCCACCAATCTAGTTTCCTTCTTTTGCTATGATAAAACACTCTGACCAGGAGCAATTTAGGGGAGGAGGGGTTTGTTTAATCTTATACTTCCAGGCCATAGTCCACCATTGAGGGAAGCCAGGGCAGGAACTTGAAATAGAAACCATAAAGGAATGCTGCTCCCTGGCTCACGCTCTTTTTATACAGCCCCAGGACCACCTGCCTGAGGAATGGTGCTGCCTACAGTAGTCAGGGCGCTCCTGCATCAATTAATAATCAAGACAGTCCCTCACAGACATGTCCACAGACCAGCCTGATCTAGGTACTTCCTTAATTGAGGCTTCTCTAAAATGACTCTAGGCTGTGTGAAGTTGATGGCTAATGCTAACAACACCCACTCTTGAAGCCAGTGCTTGCTGTTTTTTTTTTTGATCTGCCAGCCTGTGTATGCGCTTTGTTTTATTAATAAGAAATCTAGGAGCATTGTGAAGAGGATGAGGTAAAATGACCCCCAGCCCAACCAAAAGCCCCAGGTACATCTGTGTCCCTTCAGTATGTAAACCCTACCATCAGTGTCATGCTCCCAAAAAAAGGTTAACAGATATGGCAAAGGTGTTGACAAGCCACAGGAAGACCTGCAGGGTTGTTTGCTAAACTTGCTCCTCCATAGCTGGAGCTGAAGCCTGTAAAGATGAGAGAGAAGATACCAAGGGATAAAGGGAAAAGCTGATGCTGGCAAGGATGTGAACAGCCCTGCAGAAATAAAGATGCCAAAATGGAGCAAGCTCAGCCAGCTGAGGGTGCTGAAGATGCCAAGTGAAATGTGCATTTTTGAAAACTACTCCTAGTGACTATATAGTTTGAAATATTTTGCCAAGTTTATAGAAAAGCCCTTTCATTTTTTAAAGATGTGTTGTTAACACACAGAACACTTTGTTATCAGGGGAAGGAGCATGGGTCACTAATGAAGGGTCCCCAGCTAGATTGATTTGGGAGGAAACACTTTTCCCTGCTGTGTTAAGAGACTTCCTCTTGTCTCCAAGAAGAAGGATTCTCTGATGTTGACATCTATAGGCACTGGGCACAAATGCCTGGTGGTGAGGGAAAGCTCAGGCTCATTTTCTGTCCTCCCTCTGCACCCTAACTCCTTTAATACTGGAGACCTCTTGGGGCCAGAATGTGTCTGCTGATCTGGACTTCATGTTCACATCCCTAGGATTGTGCTCCTCAAAAGAACAATGGTTACTTTTCCAAAGTGTGGATTTCAGATGAATAGTTCTTTCATTTTCATTTCCTGGAAGTTAGGATTGCCTTATGCAAAGTTATTAAACAGCATGCTCCATGCAAAAGGTCAACCCTCCCTCTAAACCTTCCCTGTTTGGAGCATCAGATGAAGACTCTATTGGGTTTTATAGTGTCTTTCTGATTTCAATTATCTGTGTAAGAAGGGAGTCCGAAAATTGTATATTAATAGTTATGTGCCCATTATGAAAAGAACACTTAATAGAACTGGATAGATTTTGACTTGGAAGAAAGCAGATGAAATCCAGTTGAGGCTACAAGCTGCTTAAGGTAGTGTCTGCTTTCCCTGTGAGTCTTGAGCTTTGTCAACCAGAAGACGTCACTGCAGCAGTTGATCTTGCTACTGTGGAGCAGCTTTCCTGGACCTTCCCTGGTCCCCTCTGTCTTTTTCTCTATATCTCTGCCTTTATCAAGTGCAGGAGTAAGTTCAGAGTCTTGGATTCTATGAGTTTGTTTTGGTTATCCAAGAAAAATTCTGCCTTTAGAGTTATATTATTAGGAAGACTTTCATTCTCTGCTGAGTGACAGGACACCACCTATTCTCTAAGAATTCAAAAGCAGGTTTCCGGGTTTTTTTTTTTGAAAGACAAGTTCATACTATGTAGCCCTGGCGAGCCTGAAATTCACAATGTAGATCAAGCTGGCATTGAACTCACAGAGCCTACCTCTGCCTCCTGAGTGCTGGGATTCAAGATGAACACCAGTGTGCCCTTTAAGTTTCAGTATACTTATATAAATTGAAAACGTTTATTATAGTTGAAGATTCTTTTACCAAGAAAGAAAAAACCACAAAGGAAAACTTTGGTTTCTACAATGCTTCCGCAACTCTGCATGATCATTTCCTGAAGGGCTTATTGAAGCTTGAATACTGGACCCCACATTTGGAGTTTCTGATTCAGAAGGTCTAGGAAACTGCACAGTAGTTTGCATTTCTTCTGAGTTCCTAGGTTGCAGTGCTGCTGCTAGTGCTGATACCACCGTTGCAGAAGCATCGACCTATTATAAAGGCATGAGGGATCACTGAAAATAGGAAGGGGTGACAGAATTCTCCACAGCACTATAGCCTGCTGATATTCACTCCACATTGGTAGGATTTCCTCCCAGCTTTTTCACTGGCTAGTGTAGCATAGCCTTGTCTTCATATTATTAAACTATTAGTGAACTATCTATTAGTCATAATATGGATTAATTGGTGGCTTTTCCTCACTGTTACTCCCCATTGTCAACATTTAGTTGGTATCCTATTTATGCAGTATCTAAGGCTCCTGAAGTTGAGACCTGTCTGTGGCCTCAATGCAGAAGGTATTCATGGACCATGGCTTTGGACACTAGGCCAACACTCTACAGATAGTACCATTTTTCTCTCAGAAGACTTTTCTCCTTTACTCAGCGTTCAAAGTTTACTTTATCTTTTGGGCAGATTTCAGAAACACAACCTTTTCTTTTAAAAATAACACTGTTCTTGAAAAAGCAGCAAATTAGCTCTTTGATGTCTGGTGACTGATCAAAGTAATTGTTAGTCACACTTGGAATTCAGTGAAGGCAGGACACTATGTTACTAAATAAGACACAGAGAGCATTCTCAACTATATTTATTGTGTGAAACGTCAAAAAACCATTTTAAGTGTATGATTCATGGCATTAAATGCATTCATTGTTTCTATAGCCATCACTGTCATGTTTGCAGAACTTTTCCATCACAGAAACTCTGTACCCATTGAACAATATCATTTTTCTTCCCCAAGTCTCTGGCACCTGTTGTCAACCTCTTGTCTCTCTGAACTTTCCTATTCTCAGGACTTCAGGTGAGTAGAATCTTATAATATTGGTCCTTCTGTGCCTGACTTTACTCTGCACGAAGCTCTCAAAGTTCATCTGTGTTTCACTATCTGTTGGTACTTTGTTCTTTTGTTGTGGTTGATATTTCATTGTATAGATGGACCATATTTTGTTTATCCGTTTCTCTGTTGATGAATATCTGGTTGTTTCTACCTTTTGGTGCTGCTCCTATGGATGTGCAAGTATCAGTTGAAGTCCCTGCCTTAGGGATATTTTTTTTAATTACAGTGGTCACAAATTATCTGAAGTTTGTGATATCTATTAACGACTGAGTAGGCTGGTGAGTTCTGTGCAAAGAAGGATGCTTTAGCATTGAGAAAATATAATAGCAACATGTATACCCCAAAAGACCAGGACATTGTTTGATAGCTAAGGTCTGAAAGAGATGGTGTGTAGACATGAACTACTCTAACCTTAAGTGATTGTGAGTATATGAGTATACATGGACTCTCTGCTTTGCTCAACTTGCCACTTTAGAATCCAAGCAAGTGGTGAGGGTTCTTTCCATTAAATATAGAATTTTGCCATTACAGAAAATGGCCTTTGAGCTGCTACTGTTATCATTGGGGAAAAGCTTGGGTTTGAACATGGAGAAGATATGAAGCCAGGAGGAACCCTCACTGGGATTAGTGTTGCCAAGCAGAAAATGAAAAACTTTTGCACTGACAAAGTGCAACGTTCCAGGTTTGGCCAGGCCACATGTCAAGAAATCTGTTTGGCCTGTGACTCCTTAGAGAGTGGTAACCAACACAAGAGTCTCTTAATCAGGAGCCACTGATAACTGATCACTCTGCCCTGTCCTTAGGAAGGGTAAGCAACACCCCCCCCAACCCCTACCCCTCCCCTACAAGCAATCAGTTAGAGTGTGTCATGTCTCCTAGTTTTCACAGCAGCTAAAGAACTGCAGACACCTCCTGGGGAGACTGAGAGCTGAGGGCAGCCTCAGGAAGTAGAAGTCTCAGGAAGCTGTGCTAAGTGACCGCTGTTGAATTATACAGACTGGAAGATGGGCTAGGATTGGCTGGGGCAGATTAGGAAGATTTATTGTCAGTGCTAGCACACTCTGACCCCATTCTGCTTAAGAGCTTGCGCGCATCCAAGGACTGATTTGTTCCTAAGTCTTCACT